GCGAACTGTACAATCTAAACCAATTAGTCTGGCCGAGATATCAACTCCTCAATCTCCCCAATTGAGGGCCTCGAAATATTTCCCTAATTTATCTTCTCAATGAATTCCCGAAAAATGTTTATGAATTTCATCGGGGGGCAGCTAACGAGGGTCGATGTGATGGTCAAACGTCAATATTATTAAATATAAATGCAACGAGAATAACAACAGCACACAGATCCCGGGAATGACTGATGAAAAGAGCCGCGGTGGCTGTTTTTAACTTATATTTATTTATTTTTTTTTCGTTATTTTCCGTGTGTTTTAAATGCGGACGCGACATTGCGTGATGAACAAACGTCGAGCATTTCTCAATGGGATCAGCGAAATGGTTTTTTGGGGCAAGGGGGATGTCCGAAAGCCGAAAACCGAAATGAAATGACATGACGTGTTGTTATTAAGCCGCATAATCAAAACAAAAACAAAGACCGAATTTTTATGAATGAACAGGCGAGGAGCGGAGTTTTGGGCTGGCTGGTCTACTAGAGTTGATCCCGTAATTTCGGGCCCAAAAAGGCACTCCCCGAATCGAAGGTATAACAGTGGTATAAACATCCATTCACAAGATCCAATAAACTGTTCTTATAAAATTACAATTTTGACATTTTCATAACCTGCTAGTTCTTGTAGTTTATAATTCTGCATCAAATTAAACAAATTTCCATTTTAAATTTAACAAAACATGTGTGCTAAGAAAAAACAATTGGTATTGGGTTACTTTAAGCACTTGAAACATTTAATAAACTATATTTTTATAGCGAGTTTCATCTTTAGAAAATGCATTTCAGTTCATTGGAATTGAACTCAAATTAAAAAAAAAGTTTTTGATCTAGGAGTTTATGCATGCTGTCTCGATTTCTCTTCTTCATTGTAAGATAATAGTAGATTTCTAATTGCAATAATTCCATTTAATTTCTGAGACAAAAAAGCGGGATTCTTGGCAAAAGAAGTCCGAATAGTTTTCTAAATTTTATAACTAGGATAGTTAAAAATAAACCTTGACATCGAAATGGATTCCAACCACTGTGCATCTTGGTAAGAGCCATCGAATCGACGTCGGCAGCTTCAAGGCGATTAGCGAAAAGCGGTAAATGTTGTGTTAAACCTCAATTAAGAGTGGGGACTGGGGATCTGGGGAACTGGATGTGGGGATCGCAGCCAGGTAGACAGGGTCCGCCAACAGGATGTTAAACTCTTTCGGGCAATTTGAATTCGCTTTGACTGACGCCACACGCCAGGGTCAGCTCAGAGGATTTACGATCCCCCGGATCCGAACTGCTAAATGATCTCACACAGGCGACGACGAATGGCGCCTAGAAGGAGTCACTGGAGTCTCTGTGTGTATCCGCATGTATGCCTCTTTATATTTCCCTGGGATGTATCCCCCCCACTTGGTTTGGACCCCTGTTAAGTGCTTTTTAATTTGTTTGCATTCGAAATCCGAATTCCCTGTGTTCCGCTTTTATCGGGAATCAAGTGAGCTGAGTGCAATTACGACACCTTCAAAAAGCCAACCCAGGATGCGAAGGGAGACGGAGGATGTGCTCATCCTCAAGGCACTTAAGCGCATCCCCAGGGGGTTGTTCCGCCCGTCCACCCACTTTTCAGCCACTTTCCACCCGCTTTCCACCCATCCCGCCACCCACTTTCCACCCAATCCGCCACCCACTTCCCATCGCAATCTGTGTGTGGGTGGTGAGTGGCAATGGCTAATTAAAATTACTTTCCAGGGCGACACTCGGAAATTTACGGAGAGCGGGGTTGGGGGTCGGGGGTCGGGGGTCACGTTAATGGTCAGCTGGTCAGTTTGCAGCCACTCTTAATGAGCGTCCCCAGTCATTTGCTTGGGAACGAGACCTTCTCGCACCGCCAACTGCGTATTTGTCATTTTTAATGTCTTTTTAAGCCGCGCGTAAGGTGAACCACACTCCACACACCTCATCGGGCTTAATGGCAGTCTAGTGGGCTTCGACTGTCCTATCCGAACTGGGCTTTCGTCGGTGATGGTGTTCTGAAAGTTGGTACTTGGTCTTAACTGATTTAATAGAGGTGTAAAGTTATGGTTTTGACCAGATCTGTTGAAATATCAGACATATAAGCTCAATTTTCTATAGGAACTAGGCATTCACCGGTGAAATCGTTTTGAAAATTTGTACTAGTTGCTTATTGCTTAAAGGCTTAATTACTATACAAGTTTTGGGGATTTTGTTTACCTATGGTAACTGATCTTTACCCCTCTAAAATCTATGTAAGAATATAGGGATTTCTTGATACTTAAATCTACATTTTATTGTTCTTTGTAAGAGCATTTCTGTGTCGAAGTTCCAGGTCGAAAATTTCCAGCGAGCTCATCTTTAATTAACTTATTTCACTGCTGTGTATTATATTTCGCTTTGTACTCGCTGAACGAGCGGCAAGTGCCGTTAGTTAGACCCCGACAAAATGGCGGCCCAGATGGAAAATGAAAATACGTCGAATATCCGTGTGATATTGGATGTCTGTGTGTGCGAGAGAGTGGCGAAAGTCAAGTTGGCTTATTAGCAGGCAAAGGGAATGGCGAAAGATAAATTATTGTCACATTTTTACGGGAATCTCATTAAAAGGGGTGGTGGTGGCATTTTGTGAAAGAGGGGGAGAGCCGTGAGAGATGGGGAAATTACTTGAAGATAGGCTTGGGGGAATTCCCATTAAAATTAAAACACGTGCAGTAAATGCCTAATTATAATAGATTTACATAATTCAAGGACACTTTCAATTTATATTAATTCTTGCAATTTGTTTTGTAATATTTTCATAATATTAAAATGTAGATAACATATTTTAAATTACTAATGAACAACCTTAAATTCACTCTTACACTTTCCCTTTTCGCTAAAATAAATATGCGATTTAAAATATATTGAGAATGATAATAATACCATTTTAATTATTTAATGAACAAAATGGTTGACAACCAAAAAACATTTTTAAAATACTTTATATATTTCAATTCATACCTTATTATATTGTTCCTAAGGCTCCCTGTTAAATACACTTGATTTTGACATGGGGATTCAATGACTTGAGTATGGTTTTAGGCGCAGAAATACAATATTATATAATTGCAGGGGGTTGGATCCGTTGTGATCACGTCCCCATTTTCCTGCCTCAAACCGATCGTTTGTCAGGTCGTAAATGCTTGGGATATATGTATGGTTAAGTGGATATTCCTGGAAGTGTTTGGCGACAGGAACTGGGGGAAATACCAATGGCAAATAATTCCCGACAATTGCTGCCGTGAAGCCATTTTGAAAAGCTAACCAGCTGGAGCATCCGCCTCCAGGCGCCAGGGACGGCCTCCTCGAGCAGATCCTGCCCACTAGTAGAGCCACCCCCCCCACCCCCCCCCCACCCCCCATCCAAAATACACAACTCCATTCCCAACCCCTGAGACCCATTCACTTGCACATTAGGCAGCAAATTGACATCGATACAAGTCCAAGAAGTAAATCCAAAGTGGCAGAAAGAGAACGCACTACCGCGTGCGAAAGAGAGAGAAGCGTACAGCATTTAACTGCTGCCAATTTACTGTTTAAATGCCAAACAAAAAGTGTTAACAAGCGCAAAAATAACAAAAGACACCAACAACAAAGTTCGGAGAGCGAGAAGGCCTGAGGCGATCCATATGCGGCCAGGCCTTGGGCCAGAACGAGACAGATAGACGGCGAGCAGCATACCTCTCGCTCACGAAACCAGTTTAAGGGGGCGTGGCCTGGCCAGCAAACAGGGTTGACAGCATCCCATCCATCCATCTTGCCATCCGGCTATCTGTCCATCAGATCCAACAGATACAACAGCACCAGCAGCAGCTGCGTTGCTGCCATAATCGTGTTGAGTTTCCATTTCCAGCTGCCATAAAAAGTTTATGGCAAGTCATTTTTGGCTTAATGCTGAAACCATCCTATCCGAACTGGGCTTTCACTGGGTATATCGTTCTGAAAATTGGTACTCGGGCATAATTACACAAATGGTTTGCTAAAGCAATGGTTTTGTGGTGATCTGTTTATAATTGTTAAAAATATGTTAACATTTCCTGTGAATAATGCATTTCAGTTAAGATCTTATTTATAAATAATTTTCAATAAAACCTATATTAATACTTTGAAACATTTTTAAAAATATAAAAATCGTAATCAACATTTCTTTTTCAACCCTTAGACTTTAATTTAACCCCAATTCTTTTAAAAATATTTGTGTAAGTGTCCGAATACTATACCAACTCACCCCTAACCCTTTATTTAACCCTTAAGGATATTGAAAACGGTTTTGCATTGCTATTTATGAGGTGATGAATATAATAATTATTTTAAAATATCAAAAAGTTTTCACAATGCAGTTTCTTTACAATATTTTTAAAGAACATTCTTGCTAGTTTTGAAAAATGTTTAATAAAATGGGTTATTCGTTGGGTTTTGAAATACTAAACAAAATCTTATCGAGTTAACTTAGATTATAAAAGTGAGAAAGATTAAGTTAGTTATTTTGGATAAATGGGTATTACTTGAAGCAGGCAAGTCCACCACGTGCCATAAAAATAACCGTTAGAAGTGCGGCCATTGCCGGCGTAAAAGTCACCACACTCGCACACTTGAGGGCCGCTGATTGAAGCCTAATGAATGTCAATTGCTGCCAATTACGACCAATAAATGCGGGCAATAAGTGCGGCCAGCAGTGGGTGCGAGCGAGAGGGCTTCGCGGGCGAAAGAGAGGGAAACCCACCACACCGCAAGTTGGCCAAGTCAGTGGGCGAGAAAGAGACGACGACAGGTGGCAGCTGATGAAGAGCAGAGGCTCAACTGGTTTTTACTGTCTGGTTGTTGTTGATGTTGCCGCTGTTGTTGCTGCTGTTGTTGCCGTTGTTGTCGCTGCTGTTGCTGCTGGCAGTTGCTGTTGCTGCCAGCAAGTTTCAGTTTCGGTCGAAAGCCAAAGGCGAGCGGTTGTTGCTCCGCTTTTAAATACCAAACAGTGCGCGAACAGCAGCAACATTTGCGTTAAAACTCAAGTTGAGCTTAGAAAACTGAAATAAAAACAAATAAACGAAAATCGTACTGAAAGAATAAACAAACTGGAAAAAAAAACAAGCGAAAAACTAAGCTAATTGGCCAGATCCACACAAGTGACAACAGCAACATTTACTTTTAAAATCAACAGAAAAGTGCTAAAAACTCGTGTGAATTTATAGTTTTTTTTTTGGGTGCAAAGTGCAGGTGCAGCGCAGCAGAGTCGTCGGCTAAACCACACATGACCACAATGCCACCGGAAATGTCCGCAACAACGGCAGCTCCCGTTGGCAGTGCACCGAGTGCCACCGCTCATCATCCCGCTGCCGTCGGCGGCGGAATGCCCCGTCCAGCCTCCCCGGCCGTCGGCAGCAACACCACGACGGCAACGGCCACGACGGCGACGCGATCCCGCTTCATGATCACCGACATTCTGGCAGGAGCAGCGGCCGCATCGGCGGCGGCAGCAGCGGCAGCGGCGGCCCTGGCAGCCGCCTCTTCGGGGCGTGGCAGTCCGCCGGACTCGGAGCGGGAACAGTCGCTGGTCGCCCAACATCAGCAGCAGCAGCAACAGCAACATCATCATCATAATCAGCAGCAGCAGCAACATCAGCATGCTGCCCTGCAGCAATACATTGTGCAACAGCAGCAGTTGTTGCGTTTCGAGCGTGAAAGGGAGAGGGAGCGGGAACATTATAGGGAGAGGCACTCGCCACCTGGAAACAATCCCTATCCCCACCATCCCATGCCGCCCCACCTGCTCGCCCACTTTCCGCCCGCCCACTATGCCGTGCTGCAACAGCAACAGCAACAGCAGCAGCAGCAACAGCAGCAACATCCTCATCCGCATCACCTGCAAATGGAAAGGGAGCGATTGGAGGCACTGCATCGACATGGTCACGGGTTGTCTGGTGATCCGGGGCAACATTTGAACCACCTCAGCCACCTGAACCACCACCAGCAGCACCACTCACATCTGCACCATCCCATACACGATGAGCGATCCCGATCGCCGCTTATGTTGCAGCAATTGGGCAATGCCAGCGGCAACAACAACAACAACAGCAGTAGTGCTAACAACAACAACAACAACAGTGGTAGTGCCAACAGCAACATCAACAGCGGCAACAGCAGCAACAACAACAATGGCAGTGGCAACGGCAACATGTTGCTCGGAGGAGCCGGCAGCAGCATCAGCGGCGATCAGGCCAGCACCATCGACGACAGCGATAGTGATGATTGCGGTAAGTTGCATTAATAAATATAAACTATATTTTAAAAGTAGTATAATTAAGAACAATATTTAAAGAGTGCCAACCACAAAAAAATAAATCGTAAATACACAAATGTTTATGGTATTGACATATATAATTTGGCAGTATGTTGGCAATTTAGAAATAGATATGCTATATATATCAAAAAGCCAAAAACTGAAGCACTTGGAAAAAAAAGATAGCAATGACTTAGAGAAAATAGCAACTTTGTTGCAAAGTTTTCCGGCTTTAAATTAAACCCCTCAAAGAACAGTAAGCTAGATATTGCAATTATACTGTTTTAAAATCGGTAGAACACATTTAGTTTTTAACGTTTTAAAATATAATTGCAACCAAATAAAACTGTAATATATGAAATCCTATATATATTATTTTATTTTAAGAATATGGCGATTCCTTTCTGTTCACTGAAATACTCTTTTAAAGTTCTTCATATTTTGTTAAAGGAAAAGTCAGTTCTAAAATACCAGCCAATTTGTTTTAATTTTAATGATTTACCTATTACGAAAAGCAAGTCTTAATTTTTGTATACGATTCGGTTGCTCTTGACTTGTGGAAGCAAAGTGAAGACTGGCGTTAATAAATTGAAGGCTATCCCAAAACCAATTTACACCTTTCCACCTGACCCCTGACTTCGCACCACTTTAAATTTACGATTTATCCCCGCGACCGAGATATATCATATATTGAGTGCTAAGCGTGGTTGTTTGTGTTGTCGTTTTTGTTGTGGCTGTTGGCTGTTGGCTAATAGATAACGGCCAACAACAACCACACCGACAACAACAACGACCGCAACAACAACCACCATAAATTGTAAGGCTCGAACGGGGAAAATGCTGGGTTGATAGGCGAAGACTCGAAAAATACAGGTGAGTCTGAGTTTTGAGGCAGGTGTCTCTGGGTCTCTCGCTCCTTCTCTTTCCATCTCCATCTCCCTGTCTCTGTCCCTCTTCCCAATCCCCGTGGTTTCTTGGCCAGATTAGCCAAGTGTTCGCTTATTTTCAGCTTATTTCCCAGTCGAAACTGTCATCCGAATACCCTTGACAGCCACGCCCCCCAGCCGCCTCCCTCGTTTTGCATGCAACCATTTAATTGATTTTGTTGCTAGCTTTAATTTAGCTTTTTTTCCTCTCGTTAAGTGCTTTTAAACGTTATGCAAATTATGACAAATTACTATTAAATAGCCGTAATCGTGCGTTTTCAATTGATTTGCTGCAATATAATTTAGAAAGGGAGAAAATATATGTATTTATATTGAAGAGCATGGAAACCAGAACAAAGCATTGGTTTATTTTCCATCATTTAGAATTGGGAAGAACATTTTTAAAGCTGTGTTTAATTTAAAATTGATTTAAAATACTACAATTATTATTATGCAAACTGTACATTTATTTTTAATAGCATCGCAAGAAAAGGTCAACAAAATGTAATTTTTTCTATACATAGATGGGTAAAAAAGTCAACTGATTTCAGTTATTTTCGTAATTGTTTAACCTTTTCTTGTTTAATGATGAATTATAAGTCCCTGACCAATGTTTATTTCAATTAAAGCTTAACCAATTTCATGGACAATTTTCACATTTATTTTTTTGACTTGTGCCAAAATCAATTAACAAATTAAATTATAACCAGAAAGCGGAGGTTTCTCCCTCCAAGTGACCCCCTTCTGTTTTGACTTCCCGCTGTCAATTTTTCCAACCGAAATTGCCTTGATTTGAGCCACAAGCCACACACACGCAAATGAATGAAAATAAAACTAAAGAAATCAAAATTAAATTTAATCTGCTGGCTGGGCAGCCGAGCAACCCACACACAGTCTTGAAAAAATAAACACCCATTGACATTCTCGCTTTCTCTGTCCCTCTCCTTCGGAGGGCCCACGCCGAGAAAAGCAACAAAAAGCGGGAGATACTGCAAGAAAAGGAAGGGCAGTCTCCAAAACCTAAGATTCCTATACCTTATTTTTCAAATGATATGGGTTCTTATGGATTTCAATCACAGTGCTTCAAAAAAGAAATAAATTTTTTATTGGGATTTTCAAAAAAGCTTAAAACTTAAGCAAAGTTAAAATTTAAAACTTAATTGGTAACTACAATAAAAACGAATTATTCTTTTAGGATCATTTGGGTAATTTTATTGGGGGTCTTAAATGATGCATAAACTGTTGATTTTAAATAAATATAAGCAAATAATACACTGTAAAATATAGTAAAAGGAGAGATATAATTATTGTTACAGAGGGAGAAGGGCATATATGTGCAGAAAGAGGGGGATATATGCACAGACGCATTCAACACTCGCGTGTCACTTGAGACGCGTGCGAGCGACAGTTGTTGCTTTTTCTTGCTCTACTCCCTCTTCTTATTCTCTTTCACCTCCACCTCCATCTTTGTCCTTTTCCTTATCTGCTGCTTCTTACCCTTTTTCATACCCATCTTGGTGTTTTTTACGAGGCTCAAAAAGCGATCCTTGCTGGCACCGCGTTTGAAATTGACCCAAAAGCTTGTTCTCTGCCCATCGAACCGTACACTGATCGAAAAACAGGGGGGGCTTCGAAAAATATTCAATGGATTAGGATCAGAGTGGGGGAAACTCCTGCCACTTCAATGCCTCCATCGAGTGCTACAAAAAAAAAAAGAGTTTCAATATTGAAATTGATATTTTCGGGCATCATCTTTCACATATTTCGGCAATTGAGGAATGCCAGACTTTTGCTTTGGCTTCCAAGATCGTATCCATATATCTTTGTTATATATGGCCCAAAACAGGCCAGACGATGCTCATCCACTTAATCCACATAATGTTTAATGGATATCCACGAAAAATTCACGTGCGCCACGAAAAACACCACAGCGAACCAAGTTCGTTGCCCAAGTCTTTTGTTTCTATTTTGCGGTCTGCTTCTGCTTTTGGGCTTTGCTTCTTATTTTGTATTATTTAACTTTTGATTGATATGGCGAATTCCCTAACCGAGTTGTTTTTAGAGGTAAATAATGGGCCTTATTATATATGAGAACTAACTATAAATGGCTTGCTGACTTACTAAAAAAAAGAGTTCTTAACAATGTCAATAAGTTTATGCTTTCTTAATAATATTTTTTAAACTTACTTTGATTAACTTTTTTGTTTATTTGTAAACGATTTCCTAAAGAGGTTTATTTATTTAATTCAATGCAAAAAAATAGAGCATTTAGGCCTTCGTTGTTTATTTTTTTGACATAATTTTGCAGACATTTTCCGTAAAGGAAATGTTAAATCGCAGACCCAACAGCAACAATAATAATTACAAATTATAATGCAGGTAACACGAAAAGCCAACAACCGTTATGTAAGCGCACTCGCTTCTCATGTTGCACTTGCAATTTTTGTTGCTGATGTTGCTGTTGTTACTAGAGTGCACTAAACGCCAACATTATCAAAATGTTGATAAACGTTTAGCAAAAAAAGAGGGAAAAATAGGGTTCGGGGAGGGAGGGTTACAGGGTGGAAAATGGGGGGTCTCGAAGAACGCTGCTTTTATTCTTTAATTAAAATGCAAAAAGGCCAATTGCAAATGTGTTGCTGTTGCCGCTGCTGCTTCTTCCCATGGTTTCTGCCGTTGCACAATTAAAATGCAAACACAAAAAACACCAACTAAAAAAAATGGAAAGAGACAGCAGCACCAAAGAGGAAGAGAGAGGGCGATAGGCGCTGCACACTTAAGCATGTTTAATACAGTTTAGCCACAAGCACTTAATTACAAATGCGAATGTAAAAACTGCAGACGATGGTTCCACGGGGGGTGATACTATCTAAAACTGGGGGGAGAAAGAGAGGGAGGCGTGCTGCAGAAAGAGGGGGCACTACAAGCTCCGCAAGTGTGGAACAGAAATTGCGGAAATGCTTCGAAAGTCAAACTTCTTCGGGGAACGGTTGTTAATGCATTTACAGGAGGGGCGATAAGGGGGGGGCTGGGGAGTGGGAGTTACCCAGGAGAATGAGGAAGCCAGAAGGCGGAAGATGGGGGCGTGGCCGGCTCCAGAAAGTGCCTCAGTTATTAGTGAAGCATTCAACAAAGTAAAACAGATTTCTTAAAGATTTTCAAGCTCAAGTGAGTTTTAAATGCACTGACAGAGTTTTGAGGAACTTCTACTTTGTAAAATGTTATTTGATTTTAATTAATTTTTATATTTGTTGTATCTTTTACTAGCCAAAGAAAATATACATCCTAAATTTATATTTTGTATATATAATATTATTATTTGTTTTTAAAATACTTGTAGATCTATTTAAAACCAATTAAAACATTGCCAATTTTAATTGCTTAGGATTTTTCTACTAATTAAATATTTAAAATATTAAATAAACGGGGAATTAGCACTTCTTAACTTCACTTCATTAAACTAAGCTTATAAGCCATCAAAGTACAGGTCGGGGTCGCATTGCTGTTGCCAATTCTTCGGCGGCAATCTTCACTGTGCACATCCATCATAGTAATGCTGATAATTGTTTGTTGTTGTTGTAATTTGTGCTCATAAACTGTTTAATTGCAAATTAGCAAAAGGTAGCTGCAGCAGCAACAACAATGTTGCCACATGCACATGTTGCTGCAGCTCTTGCAAAGTTGCAACAGTTGCTGCAGTTGATCTTGTTGCATGTTGGCCGGTCGTAAAAGAACAAAAAAAGCGCGTAAATGTTGCAGAAAATTGCAAATATATGAGAGATGTCAGAAGCATATTGCAAAAGGGGCTCAGAACAATAGACATCTTGTCGTATCTAAAAACGAAATGCACTGGGCGAAATAATAAATGGTTGATCTTTGATAAATTTCACATTTAAGTTGCTTAAGCGAGGTGTTATTAGGAATTCTTAAGATATATTTACGGTGATCGGAATGTTTGTTTTTATTATTTATAATAAACTAAGTATCCTTTTCAAATGTTCTTCAATGTGATTTACTTCTTTGCAATAGTAATAATATTAAATTGAATAAAGTACATTAAATATCTTTAAAAATGGGTAGTTATTTCAGAGTATTTGATATAGTTTTCATACTTTAAGAACACTAAATAAGTTATTATTGGTAATGTTTTTAAAATTAAAAAAGTTTTGAAAATTAAGATTTTGAAAAACAAAAAAAAATGGTGTTTTCACAAAACTAAATATTATATTTCTTTAATATTTTTAGGCGGCAAGGACGACGACGGCGAGGACAGTTTGAAGAACGGCAGCTCGGCGAACGGCGACTCCTCGTCGCACCTCAGCTTGAGCCTCAGCAAGAAGCAGCGGAAGGCGCGTACCGCCTTCACGGACCACCAGCTGCAGACGCTGGAGAAGTCCTTCGAGCGGCAGAAGTACCTCAGCGTACAGGACCGCATGGAGCTGGCCAACAAGCTGGAGCTGAGCGATTGCCAGGTGAAGACCTGGTACCAGAATCGCAGGTGAGCGGCTCGCTTTGTGGTTTTATGGGGCTGTGGGGAGCAGGGGTTACGCGGTTGGGGGGGGGGTGTTCTGAGTGGCCGCTAATCAGCGCCTTTAATGCGTTTCGCCCATTTCTTCGCGCAGTTTTCCAATAAAAATCCTTTTAATGGCTGTTTTTCCTCCTTTATTTTGTTGTTGCTTGTCTTCTGCATTCATCACCTTATCAGTGCCTGTGTTTTTTTATGCTGATTGCTTAATTTGCTGTATTTTGCCTGGCGCATCGTTAAAAAAAATATATACATATATGTTCGATAAATGAGATGTCTGTTTTATGCGCATTTTTCTCAGTGCAAGTTTGTTGCCTAAGTCTTTCGTTTCGATTGCCGCCTTATTACGTTCGATCGCGTTTTATTTTCGTTTTTAATTATTGCCCAATGACTTGTCACAATTTCGAGCACAGAATGCTTACCACAACAATTGGGAACTGGGGGGAGTGGGAGATGAGGAGCAGCAGGCCAACATCTTGCGTGGCTGACGGCGCAAAACGCAACCGGATATGACTGATGGCTGTGTGAATTCTCCAAGGGGGTAGCGGGCTTTATTTTGTATTTTTAGACATTTTTTCTCGCATTTTTAGATGTGAAATATATGTAGCAGGGCTTATACAAATTTATTGCTATGCTATACATTTTATTTTGAAGCAATGTCGGCTTTAAGCTGCTTTTGCGGAAGTAGCATTATTACATTTTTGATAAATAGAAAAAGTATAATAGTATTAGTATATTAAATATTTTCTGCAAAACTTTATTGAATCAGGAAAGGGTTTTTGTATATATTTTTTTAGTTTTTATATATTTTGTGTCTTATTAAACCAATGTTTAAGAACTTATCTTTTGAAATATCAATTTAAGAACTACATTTCTCCTTTCAAAGGACAGGCAAAAATTCAATAAATAGTTGGAAAAACAAACAGAAACCTTAGGCTGTCATAACCCCGCCAAAGTCAACTCATGATATCTCCCATTAGGCCAAAACACTTCACAGCTGCTGTTCGATCCTAGCGATGAATGGGCAAAAATTGTAGAATAAAAAATAAACGACCCCGACCTGGTTCTAGTTCTAGTTTCGGTCGAGGTCCTGGCGCCTTGAACAATTAAAGGATTTGCCAAAAAAGAAGGGCGGGTCGCTGCCAATTAGGCCTCAGTATTCGGCTCAGAGTATTTCCAATTTCTTTTAATTTTATTATTTTTATTTTTCTTTTTGGTGGGCTGGCACAAGATTAATGACAAAACAATTAAGTGCGAAATATAAACAGTCGGGGCGGAATCCTTGAGGCCACACGGCGGGATATTTTGGGACGAGAGGCCTCGAGTGACTCGGCACTTCTGGGCCATGATTAATTGAGAGGACGGGGAAAAGGACTCGAGCCCGATGGCTTCCTTTGCCTCTCACGCTCACTTCCTCAAAACACTCGAGGAAACAGATTACAGAATTAGGAGTAAAGCGTTAAGAAAAATACTCAAGCCAGAGTATGAACAAATATTTGGCTTTCTAGATCAGCTCTTTTAGTTGCCAAACTTCAACTTGCAGTTTAGAGTTAATATTTCCTTTAGAACGCATTAGGTTTTAAATAGTTAAAATGGATTTGATAAATCTTGTAGGTACGGCTTAATGACCCCATAGAAAATCAACTTATTATTTCTACAAGTGATAGTTTTTAAAATATGATTTATAAGAACAATTAACATGGCTAAAAAAATGTATTTTTTATTCGCTTTTATTTCTATACATTTTGGCGAGCTTGAAGATTTATTATTCGCTATTTACATGTGATTATTCCTTTTTATATATTTTTTTTTTTAAACAATTATGAACCAAAATATTTGTAAAATTTAAAAAGTGGGGGAGAGCATTTGGCAATGCAAATATTAAAATGTTTGGTATTATTTTCTTGATTGCAGAACCAAATGGAAGCGACAGACGGCCGTGGGCCTGGAACTGCTGGCCGAGGCGGGCAACTACGCGGCCTTCCAGCGGCTGTATGGGGGTGCCACGCCCTACTTGAGCGCCTGGCCGTATGCGGCCGCCGCTGCCGCCCAATCGCCCCACGGCGCCCCGCCCTCCGCCATCGACATCTACTACCGCCAAGCGGCCGCCGCCGCCGCCCTGCAGAAGCCCGCCCTGCCCGCCTCGTACCGCATGTACCCGACGAGCATGCCGCCGGGCATGGCGCTGCCCGGAATGGCCGGGATGCCCGGCATGCCCGCTCCCCCCGCCCCCGGCGCGGCGCCCATGCTGAGCGGCTATTATGCCGCTGCGGCGGCGGCAGCCGCTTCCGCTGGCGCCGCTCAACAGCCGCCGGCCGCGTCCCGCTCGCCCGCAACCAGCCAGAGCGCCAATAGCGAGGCGGACTGCGAGCGGACCAGCAGCAGCAGTCGCCAGCGCTTGATCACGCCCAGTCCGCCCCTCAATCCGGGCAGTCCGCCCCATCGCGAGCGGCTCAACGAGGAGGAGGGGGAGCGGGACAGGGATCGCGAGCGGGAGCGGGAGCGGGAGCTGGAGGATCGGGAGCGGGAGCGTGACGACGAGGACGACGAGGAACTGGCCCTGGAGGTCTGAGGATCCCCGAGAGAAATCCCTTCCCACAGCTGGATCTCACAAATTTGTCTAAAGAAATAATCAAGGGGTGGTATTCAAGACCTATGAATTATGGTGGACATCTTCTGGCAAAAGTCGTAATCCAAATCCAAATCCAAATGAAATCCAAACATTGACAATGGGTTTAAGATTTTCAGAATCATTCAGCTGTTTTCAGAATAATAGTAGTCAAACTCGTTTTCTTTTTGCATGAAAAATTACAACAAATTTAAAATTTCAAGACAAGGAACCATTTAAATATTTATTTATTTATTGGAAAAAAAGATTTTAATATTTTTATGTTTTAATATGTTATTATTAATCGAACACCTAAAGCTACTATTATTTGAAAACCAGTTGCAATTTAAATTTTCTTGCTAAGAAAAAGAGAAAGTCATCTCTGAACTGCCAATGAAAATGTATTTGAAAATTCTCCATAACATATATAAGTTTGTGGTATAAATAGTTCACCCTAAAGTGTAATTCAAAATTGTAAAAAGTCAACAAAAAATTACTATGTAAAACAAAACATGTAACAGTATTAGACACGCCCCATGTTCATTTGTCTATAAGAATAACCCCCAGTAATTGTGAAGAAAAATATATATACATATAAAACACATTTTTTTTTCTATATTTAATTAAACCTAGCCTAGAGGAAATTTTGTAAATTTTTGTAAATTATTTTTGTACATACGCAGCAGACCAACAACAAAAGCAACACAATTTTTTTTTTCCAAACAATATTTTTTTTTACAACTTTTTTTGTGCCTAGTCTTAAGACGTCTATTGTGTGTAGTAATAATAAAAGCGAAGAAAAAAGAGCAATCAAGAACTGGGCTTTGTTTTGCGAAGGACTGAGGGCCTGAAGGACTCGCTGGCTGAAGGACCTTTCTGCGATCCTGAGCCTAATGCGAGCTGACACACGAGCCGAAAAGTCGCAGTCGAAATCTCAAGGGGTCGAACGCAACTCGATAGGGGCACTCGAGGAACTGTTGCATTTTGGCCTGGGAAGCGGCCACTAAACTGCTCACTTAGAAATTGTTAACATTTGCCAAGGGGTTCTGGTCCTCGTCCACGTCCACGTCCTGGAGGAAGTCCTGCCAAGAAGTGAGCCCCACCCCACCGCCCATCGCGATTCCGCTTCCGATTCCGCAAAGACGCCGCTCGCCGCTCGAGTGTCGAAACGTTTCTAATTGACTTGCCGGGAACGGAACCACCCTGCATGGAAATCAGTCCTCTAGAGATGGCAGCGTGAGGCACTCAAGGGTTAATTGCGGGCTGGGTGGGTTAAGGGAAATTTATTTAAAAAGATGATCTTCGAAAAAAATAGGAAAAGGTACATTGTAAGATATACTAAACCGGTTTGTAAAGCTTTAATATCCATCTGTTCTTCTACGCAATTTACTTATTTTGGTGATTTAATAATACACTGATTACACTTTGCAAAATATTTTTTTATGTATCGTTTTTTAAAATTAAAATATATTATTATATATATTTTTATTTTCTTATTGATTTATATTAAAATAATTCTTAAAGCGTTTTAAATATAGTTGGAATTTAAAACAAAGATTTCAATTATCCTGCCATTATCAAGCGTCTCCATAATTATTTTAAAATACGTTTACGTATTAAAATGTCTAAAAATGTACCCAGTAAAAATGTAGGAAATATATCCAATTAATATATCCTGTAATATCCCAGGACACTGTGCCATCTCTAGCTGGTGAAAGGACCTACCCCGTTACTGTTTGTTTTGCCTGTTTACATGCCGCTTGCCATTTTCGCTACTTTTATGACAATCTCAATTTCTGCACTGCGCCGCCTTGGTTAATGTTTTAATTTATGGGGTTGCGGCTAAGCGAATTCAATTTGCGCTGCCTTCGAGTGGCGCACACAACCCCTTGCAGGCGAGTCCTGTATGAATCCTTACTCCTTCCCCGATCCCGACTGGGATGCTGATCCCGATTCTCAGCAATGTCGACTACGGGACTCTGCGTGAAGTGGCTGCGTCGTCATCCAAGTCAAGTGGCGCTGGGTTTTTGGAAGGGATTTGTGCGTAGAGACGGCCATCGAAACGTCTGCATAACGCCTCTGTAACAAATTGATTATTTGCCGCTGCGGTTTGAATACAATTTTTTTTTTTTGTTTCGCATCGATTTGAAATTTTTATGAGTGCCCCGAGGAGCGAGGAGTTCGAGTGCGAGTGTACGAGTACTTATAAATTTATGAGTGGCCCTTCAAATCGTCAGACCGTGCGAAAGTTTTCACTGAGAACGCGGGCAGGACTTTTTGGCCAGTGGGAGGCTACACATAATGGCGGTGGAAATTTGCATATTTTTGTTGTCATCCCACAGTTGATTGGGCAAACAAAGTGGATCCATAACCTTCCCAAGCTAATCCCACAAATGGAGTTCGGTGTGCCGGAAATTGGGGGTACACAAATATTGTTTCTATCACTTGTGGTTACGGATACCTAATCCCACGTTTGGGGTTGTAAAATTATTAAAAATTGAAGATGTTAATTGAAAAAGTTGCAATTTATGAAGTGACTATAATATGTTATCAGCCATTTTAAGATAATATTAGTAAAACAAACTATTGGCTAAAACATAAAAAGGTCTCATAAAATAAGAAAACTTATTTCATTAAATTCCTTTTTGCTCTGTTAAAGATATATGGTTTCAATAGATTTCTATAATACAATGTAATTTCTAAACTACTAGAGAAAGTTCCAGTTAAAATAAATATTTATGTGCTTCTTTGATATGTAAATATTTGCTTATGGGGTTCAAATTTTCGTCCCATTTACCCACAACAATATATTTGCAATAACATAAATTTAAATGGTTGTGCAATTCGTTACGCATTTTTGTCCATTTAGGGTTAATGTTCTCGATACAATATCTATGTGATGTGATAATGTCATGAATTTAAATAGCTCACTTTGATTTTATCACTGATTCCCATGATTGGGTCCATTGTGCGACTCCATTTGTCGCATTTGGCGAGTTTGGCGAGCTAGTGTCTTTTGTGCATCCGAGCTGACAAAGTGCTTTCACACCGGAAGCAATTGCAATGCGTTCGCCGTCGTCCTTGTCACCCAGCCACCCCACCACCCAACCACCCCACCACCCACTCTCCATCGCCCATCTTTCCCCAGTTAATTGACAACTTTCTGGCCAGGGTGCGCCTTGAGTTCGCCCGCTTTTTTATCCCATTCTCCAGCGACTTCTTTGTGAGGCTAATTTGTCACAGGATGCCAGGATGATGTCAGGATGCGAGGATGCCAGGATGCCAGGATGCCGGGATTAAGGATGGAGCAGGCGATGCTGCTTCATTACACAGGCGATTTGTTGCGCACAAAGCGAACGCATAGATGAATCGATGGGAATATAGTTAGTTCCAAGTACACTCAGCTTAAAATTAAATGATTGAAATTATTCACAATTATTCAAAATACAAAGTGACTTATTAAATTAAAAAATAAATTTAAGTTAAATTGGTAAAACAGAATCAAATGTTCTTTTTAAAATAAGTAATTTTGTTACAAACAATATGTAAATATTATTCATATGTTGTAAAACAAATGAAAGACGACTCTTAATCGAAGCCCTTTTAAAAATATTTTTGAAGTAATTATAAATATTAAATTCAAAAACATATAATAAGAAAATAAAAGAAATATATAGGTATCATGCTATATATAAAAGTAATATGATTTTTATTGTTTTTTAACTCTTTCTTTTATTTTCTCCATAATTTCAAGAGTTTTTTTCACCATGCACCCAAATAGAATATCCAAGGGTGAGGAGTTTGGGATTTTGGGAGCTTCCGTTATCAATAAATTTGTGCGCTTAAATGCGTGTGTTTATCGAATTAGATGCCGGAGGTCAGGAAGTCGAAAAGTCGGGGAGTCAATGGAGATTTATGGGCGCAGCGGGTCGAAGGGGGGCCGCGTTGCGTTGCAAGGTTGTGTCAATGCCGAGAGTTATTTCTTCATCGGATCCGATGCCTTTAAATTACTGTAAATGGGCTCCGTGGCGCCAGGGATCAGAAAAATCGATTTGTCGGTCGTCGCCGCCAGTTAAACGCTGCCAATTTGCCGCACTGCCCTCTGGAGTTCTGCGGCAGTTCGTTCCCCCGATGGACAAATGGACAGATGGACGAATGGACGAATGGATCTGGGCCTCTGCCCCATCGCGAACATGGACCCACTGGCGGCTACTGGTTTTGAACCTGCCACTGAAAAACCAAAGCCAACTGATGCCGCCGGCCCAATTTGCATGCGTTCGATTTGCAATTCGCTCTGCAATTGCATTTGCGGTTTTCGGTTTTCGGTTTTTCAATCAATTCTAACTGTGCAAACTGCAAAAGGCAATCATCAGTCTGTGCATGAAATTTACGGCACCTAGATCCATTGCACAAGGAGTATATCCTGGAAAAATGACTACGCCTACGTATATAAAAATAAAGTCGGTAAAATTGTTTATTTTGTTAATTTAGAAATGCTGGAAATAGTCTTTTGGTTGTCAGAATTGAAAATGTTTAATAGTTTTATGCCCACAATAAAACAATTAATAAGTCTGTATTGAAAAAATAAAAACTTTGATCAATTTTTGATGTTACATTAAGCAAAATATATATTCTCTTGGAATCCAATTTTATGATTTTTTAATAAAGATAGTTTGTCAAGAACTTAGGAATTAATTTCTGCATATTAAAGAGATTAAACAAAAATTTAACGTAGTTAAATGTTTGTACCAACTAATAAAAACCAAATAATAAAAAAACACAATTTGTGTGAATGTTTTTGTTGTATCTTGGTCAAATTTAGGCGCAAACCCAAAAGGTTAACTGTTTTGTGTAGCTAATGACCATATCTAACAATCCCTATCCTTATCCGACAACAATTTTTTTTTTTCCCATTTTTTGCATTTTTTATAAGGGGTAACATCATCTTTTTAAGACAAAAATGGGACAAAAAAAAAATGTTCAGGTTTGGAGGCCAATCGATTTGGAATTTAACTACAAGCTCAACGAGGTACGACATTCCATTATTGGACCATTATTTCTAATGTTATGCCAAAATACTGATATTTATGGTCGAAAATTATACATTTTTTTTTAAAATCAGAACAAGGAGTTTTGCAAAAACACAATTTTTTTAGACTGTTGTAACTTGGTCAAAGTTAGGAGCAAAAACAAAATGGTAAGTTTTTTGTGCAGTTAATGACCACATCTATTACCAGAAAATAATAATGATATTTTCCTGTTTTTATACAGTACAGTAATAGTATAAATGTAAGGAGTTTCCGAAAGGGTTTCCTTGGTCCGGCATACCCTTTACAGGGTATGCAAATCTCCACTCCGCCGCCTTGGTGGGGCACACGCCAATGTCAAAAGGTTCTCACAGCCGAGCGACGACGATGATGATGATGCGATGATGATGGCTGAAAAGGCGATCCCATACGTGGCGATGTGATATGGCAGAAAGCCGATACTTTCCTGGTCTTGGGTATTATTTGCTGTATTATTTTTTTTTGGGGGCCAAGTGCCGTTAGCCGAGCGTGTGTGTGGTCCCAGGATTTATATATATATACATGTGTATGGGTATAT